TATATTTATATTTATATATATATTATATATATATATATATATAGCTTCATATAGCTTTATATATCACATACATAGAATTATTTTGTTTCCATACTATATTACATACGTGTTTACCTTGACTAACACATACGTATATATACTTCTCGTGACCTTATCACTTCTTTTGCCATATCGTTCCGCACAGACAATTGAGGTACGATGGTTTTACACAGCTGGCCTCCCAATTGGAAACACAAGCCCTCAACGGCGCCAGGCAACCACCTGCACCTCATTTGGTTTCGCATATGTCAGGCATATTGGAAGAACAGAAGCAAAAAGGTATGGCTAGAATCAATGTGAACATGTGTCCGATCAATGACTGTACTGTTGAATGGTTGTCCTATTTTACATGTTATTGTTCGCCACGTATGTGAAGAATATGAGAAGGATAGTGACACCAAATTCAATCGGAATATATTTACCGTTACGAAATGGTTCGGATTATTCTTCTTCTATTCTGTTAGTCGAATGTACTCGTAGCCGCTGTACACGTATCTGTGTATCTGGTATTTTTGAATCAACATTGAGAACAGTTTCCTTTGCACGAGAAGAGCCATGATAGTCTGTGCCGAATGGAGGTTGATTGAGTCCATCATATTTTAGTAGCAGTATGGTAGACTCAACCTACTTGTATGCCTGTTCGTGGTTGGGTATGTGCGATACACTAGTGATTTGGTACTGTTTTGAAGTATTTTTATCCTACGTACTCGCGTGACATAATGTGCATGCCTACCAGTCATCGCATAGTTAGTAACAAATACGCAAATTGTATTCGTTCGTGTGTCTCGCATAGTTGGCCGCACATGTCTGCATCAATCCCGTGGTGACCGCAAATGCACGAGCCAACACAACTGTCAGGGTACACGCACGACCTATTAAGCGAGGTAGTCCAATAGTCAAATAATCAAATAGTCATCCAATATCGACACCTCTGCGTGTAGTGTGTGTGCACACCATGTCAAGCATACGTATCAGCAACGTTCACAACTCCTTTTGGAAGTTAATTTGTTCTGTCGATTTAGCACCTCTATCCCAGAGCACGCCCATTGATAGTGTGGCAGTCTACCTATCACATAGACCAAGAATCGTCTATTTGCTTATATTATGTCACCCATCAAGCATCGTGTACACTGGCCAGGTGGCCTTGTCTCCAACTCATTCGCACACCACCAAACGTTAACCACTGCCTGATGATCTGACCCACAGAGGTACAATCTATAGACTCAAGCACGAAAGCGATGAATCTGGACGACACATTCGATGGTACGTGAATAATTGCGCCCACAGACGGGAGTCACATGACAATCTAATGGTTCAGCATGAGTGTATCCGAATGTATAGTGTGCGTGTGTGTGTGTGTGTGTGTGTATTGTTCGAGGTAAAATCCACTCGCATGTGGATGTGTGGTGAACGTTGACTGCAGCGGACGAAGACATAGAAGTGCTGCACTTAATAGGTCAAATGAGGTCGAATGGTTGGTAAGCTAGAGCTGTGTGATGCAGTTTTACATATCCAGAGCCCTTCAATGTCACTCATTGCAGTTAATATATCTTGAATTGCCGTCATACGATGACCTGGCTTTCACTGAACCGCAAGAGATCTTTGCTGACCGCCTGTTGCAATATGTTATGCGGCACATTGCTCCGGCCTATGCTAACCCGTCAAAGCCTGCTGTGCGTGTTGTTGAGGTGCGTATTGTACCGTTCCAGTATTAACACGGGCTGTTTAAGCTTCGCGACGATCGTTCTGTTGAACATCTCCGTTGTTCACTTTCATCATTGCACTCACACAGGTCCTCAAGACTTGACGCTTGTCAATTCCATTAAGACGGTATACACAGCGGTGCACAAAGGGGGCTGCCTCGTCGCTGCATTCAGTCCAGACGGTGAGTGAAAAGGGGAGAGGAGAGGGACGTGGGGACGGTTTAATCGATACCCTTTAGTGTGTATCGGCCTCTAAAGTTCCATCACGTCGTGTGCGTTTTTGTCGTTTTGTCTCAGTATAATCTTACGCGTGTAGATATTTGTAAACATCGGTGTATGCTCTGTATGTACAACAGCCACACAACAAGAGGTCTGCCGCTAAGCATATACACTTATCTATGGATTTTTGGTTGTCAGATATACACATCCAAATGCGGCGGTATCAGCAGGGATTCTAACCCCTTAAAGCATATGGTTTATAATGGAGGTATGATTTTCAGAATACCGTTCTGCTTTCTGAGTCTAATTCTTG